TATATTAAGCTCATCAATAATAAGATCCTTCCTCTTGCCAGCTTGTATTTAGTCGATCAGCTTCTGATATTCTTGATTGGCCTTTTTATGTATTTTTGTTTTTTCCCTCTGTAGTAGAATGCACAACCATTGGATTTAATTTCTATCATTATTGATGTTTATCTTTTAACTATAATGCTTTCATATCCTTAACTAGTTCTGCTGCCTACATTTATTTTGTATGACATTCAAATTTTCTAATCAATGCATTGGCTGTCATATTAACCTTTTCAAGGTTATATTATATGTTAGGATCATAATCTTTTAGAGCTCTTTCTTTTATCTTTATTGACTTTTTTGTTGTGAAAATATATTTCAAATTCTGATGATCCATCGACACTCAAATTTCACTTTATATAAATAATGGCTTTAACTTTTGAGAGCAGATGCTATTGCAACTAACTGTACATTCTTAATTGCTTAAAAATGCATCACTGTCTATTCGAAATTTCATTAATTCTAATGGGAATCATTAATATCGGTGTATTTGACAAACATCTCTTAAATTTTTAAAACTTAACTTTCACTTATCAACTTAATCAAATGTTTTCTTTTCAGTTAAATCTGGATAAAGTAAAGAAATCTCTGAAAATTTCTTCACAAAATTAATAATACCTCACACTTATTTGTATTCTTACTTTTTTTTTCTCCCTAGAAAACAACTCTTTTCAACCAAAACTCTCACATTTAAAAAGCTTTGCATACAATTTGTGCTTTCTTTGTAAACTCCTCAACTGACTGGCATGATATTGATTGCTCTTGGAATAAATAAGTATATCATCATTAAAATTATGGTACATTGATCAATTTATGAACACTATTGGGGCTTTCTTTTGTCCAAAAGACAATTAAAAATTCATAATGTCACACGTACGATGTCCCCTCTTGGTCGAAAATGCCTAAAGAAAGCGGAGAACTCAGCTGTATGAATTTCTCACCATTGCCCATTCTGAAATTAGTTTAACAAGAACAAAGCGAGTTCCAAAGTTAATAACCGGCATAATTTTAAACTCACAAGAATCTATTGATTATTACAAACCAATTGAGCAGAAGTATTTTAAAATATTTCATTAATCAAACTACAAAGCTTCTAATAAATATTAGAATTTAATTACATAATACCGAACTGTCATTATGTACATACCTTAAGGGCTTTATATCCTAGACCAACACCATACAACAAAATGTAGAATTGCTTTTTTCAAAATTAGATACTCGCTTAGATCAATTTTATGTTCATCTCTACTTGAAGCAGAAGCCAATTTAGTCCCACTAGCTTTAAAAGCTCAATGAAATAAATAATTTTAAAATATTATTTAATATTCATTGAGTTAAACCATGCTAATTTTTGGTTGGACATGAGAAATTAACAAAACATAGACTATATAAGTGCATTATCTATAATAATTATAAAGTGAACATTTCTGAATAATTATTGGCTTAAATGAGATAATCTTATTGAAAAAAAAAACCTTTAAAAGTGATATTCAACGTCAATCATAGTTTACACTATGTAGTCGTTCTTATAGTCGTCAACATTAGAAATTAATCTCTTCATATTTTAATTTCTTTATTTGTTTATTTTTTTTTAACATGAGATATGTTATATCTTAGTTTTAGAATATGTTATTGCATGTAGATCTAGGTTCATTGACCATTATAAGACATTGAATTGTATTAGATTCGCATCCCAGATCACATGTTTGTAAATCCAATGTGAACGTTATTTATTGATAACCTTGTCACCTATATAAAGACTCATCTTTATCTGCTACTTGTATATATTATCATAAAATATCATTTTGAGTACTCTTTTGCCTCAATATGGACCTGCCTTTTTCCTTCTAACGGATTATTAAAAATATAATCATTTCTTTTATATGAGCTCACTATTGCTATCCTATTTGTATATGTTATCATAAATCTATCTATTTGAGTGTTTATTTTCTTTATATGTGCTTATCTTTGTCCTTTTTCTTATCCAAATTATCATAATTAATTTTAGTATAGAATTTGAAAATTCAGGGAATTAATGTAGCATGAAATGTTAATCATAAAACTGACATGAATTAGTTATGATTGTTGACAAGTATAGTATATTAACTGTAATTAATGTAAATTGAAATTTCTTGCATAATATTTGGCGTAACAATAAGCGAGTTAATTTAGTTAAATTATGTTTTAAAATAGATGGTTAATATTCAGTTATAGTATGTACTCTATTTGTCAAATTTTAGGTGTCAACATAAACGGTTTATTTGTTTTCTTAATGCTCATATACTTATTTCATTTATTACTTACTATAAAATATATTCTTTTATTTTTAGTATATGCCATCTATTTTTGCTTAGGTTCATTTTCCGTCATAAAGTAGTGGACACTATTTGAACCACCCATTTCTCGTAAAGTTGAAAATGTAACTTGAAAGTTACATCATTGAGTTTAACAGAGTTTGGGAGAAATCTAACATTATTGCTAGTGAATTACTTAAGGACTTTTTTTGACTTCATAATTGCTCAACCTTGTCAGCATGTTCAGGTCATCATAAATATGTTTTTACTATTTTATTATACATAATATGACTTTTTTGAAACTCATTTTATTTATATTATGAACATTTAAATATTTACATTATTTGTTGAAAGTTTTCTAATCAACCCTTGCATCCATATGTAAATCAGAAGTACTGGTTGTCTTACCTTGTAAAATACATATATATTTTTTAAATGTTTAAATGCTTATAATATTTCAATATGGACTTGTTTGCTTATTTTAAATTAATTTGAGATCATTTAAGCATGAATAGTTGGACACTAGAAGGAATGTGCAATATGGAGACTTTCTATTCCCTTTTTACATACAAATTTCAAATACATTTAAATTTACTGTCGCGGATTGGGACCATGTGATACCCTGTGCGTGGGATCAGCGGTCAGGACGGAAATGTGGCAGCCAGTTTGGGATACTCCAACCTGGGTTGCTGCAGCCCGTGTGGGTCCTATTTTTTACATTGTTTGAATTAGGAATCAGTCTTGTAAGATTGGGACTTTTGCTTTGGTTTATGTATTAGAGATTGTTTTTGTCCAGTTTTCTTATGGTCTATTGAAGTGCTGTATCATTTGATTTCTCTCTAGCCGTGTGCCTATAATATTTTTATATCAAAATCACTTCTCATATAAGCTTCAAATTCTACTGTGATTCAAAGTTGTTTTCGAAAGAGAAATTAAAAAAAAAAAGATTTCTTGCATCAAAATTAGCCTTTTGTCATCTATTCCCTTCTACATCCCCATTGATCCTATTTTCCAGCTCATTGCTTTGCTCTTTATTTCACGATGGCTTAAGATTATAGGAAATGGAATGAGGCATTGTTTGGTGCTAGGGTTTTATGTCTATATAGAAGTTATTAAGTACTGGAATCAATTGTAATCATTCATCAATTGATCCACCAATACATGATGAGGTAAGTGGAAAGTTCATTTAAGTGCTACCATGAATTAAGTGTTTCAACAATAAAATTAAAATAAAATTTAATTTAGTTAATTTAAATTCTAAATTAAATTATAAGCTAATATGTATATATGTATTTATGCCATTTCTATTGAAGTTGGGGTTAGAACCTAAGCCATTCTGTGGCATGTTCAACCAATGAATATGCCCATATCTGCATTCATTTTTTGACCTTATTTTTTCCATGCTTTAATGTTATAATCATTCTCGAAATTTTTTGGGCAAGCTAGCCAATAAGAAAGTTTTTGGGCAAGATAGATAATAAGAAAGTTTTCACTGGGTTACTTATTAAAAAATTGTATTGAATATGATGCAAACTTATTGGAAATCATGTGAAACCTTGCATGATTTTATAAAAAAGCATGAAAAGAAGATGGTGCAATAAGTTAGTAAGGGTAGGAGGATCAAAGACTGTGTTAATTGGGCCAATTTTAGTAGTGATTGTTTGCTTTCTTATGAGATTTCTGCCAAAGTTTCACCCTTATGGGGGAATGAAAGATTGAATTTTTTAAAATGTCGACTTGTTAAAGAGTCATTTTGTCTATTAATCTAGAATTAGGAACACTGTCAATATCATATCAAGATTTTCTTGCATGCCTTGCTTATAGCAAAAGGTACGTGGGCTCCTTATATTAGGATGTGGGAATAAATTATTGATTGCTACCAAATTTGAATTTTTTTTTTGAGTATGGTAGTTTTTGTTTTAAAATTCTGATAACAGATGTGATATAGCTTTGTTGAGATATTACTGGAATATCAAATTTGTAATAAGCTATGAGTTTGCTAATCTTGGTAAATAGTTTATGGTGGTGTTTATAATCAATGTGTTTTGTATTTCCTAATTCTGTTGAAGATAGTTATATGACATACTTTATTTTTGTGCTGGAAAAATCCATCTCCATATCTAACTAGAAATTATTAGATTGGAGGTTAGTAATTTGTATCGTTCATCTTATTTACATATGAACTGATACTCTTGTTATTAAGCAATATTTAAGTTGTCAGTATCAATAATCCTGGCCTGATAAGATAATTATATTATGACAAGCTCTTGCATAGAATTCATAAATATCTTATGGTTCTCTGAACACAGTTTATTGTAGCTATTTCAGATAAATGAACAAGTACTTCTAATATTTTTCATTGAAACATAATTATGAAACCTTAATGTTGATGTAGACTTTCCAACTGTGTTTGCATATTTGATTTCTAATGCCTCTCATTTAAGTAGTATTGGGAATTAGTTTTGTCATCCAAATCTTTGTTTTTAAACTTCTCAGTTTCCTTGCTGCCTTTCAAATAATTCTAAGTTTCAATGCCAATGATGATACAAACCTATGGTGCTTTCATATTGCTGTGACAAGACAGCTTATGGTGGATTATCTTTTTAACTTTTAGCAATTAATGTCGCTTATCTGAAAAGAAATGATCAATCCTATATTGTAAAACTCTAGGAGTAAAAAAGGATGTTATGAAGGACCTGCCGCCGAAGAAAGAACTCATTTTACGTGTGGATTTAAGTAGCAAACAAAAGGAATATTACAAAGCCATCCTTACTCGAAATTACCAAATACTGGCTCGCCGTGGTGGTGCTCAGGTTAAAATAATTCTCAGTGCCTTTTTTTTTTCTTGCTTTATCTCTTAGTAAGTGGACATTTGAATTTTTCAGATATCCCTTATTAATGTTGTGATGGAACTCCGTAAGCTTTGTTGTCATGTATATATGCTAGAGGGTGTGGAGCCTGAAACAGAACCGTCAAGTGCTTATGAAGGTTTGAGGTACTTTTTTTGTGTAATGTCTTGATCTAAGTCACTTTATCTTGGTTCACTAACTGCTAATTTTCTTTTCTTGGCTATGCTTGTGACGTGGGAGCTTAACGGGTCGCAGTAATGTAGTTGTTACAATACCACAAACCCTTTTCTCTATTTGATTCCCTGCCTTTTTCTCTTTGATACCCTGTCGTTTTCTATTGCCTTCCTAATTCTATTTCTTTTCTATTCTAATTCCTCCTATTTTATTTATTAGCTGTTTTATATGTGTGGTTTTGCTTGCTTAGGGTTAGCTTTTGATTAATTCTAGATTTCAGATTTATTGTAAGGACTGTTTATTTTGTCCGTTTTTTCTATCGAGGGTTGTATCTGAGGAATGGTTGGTGCTTTGGTTGCATCTCTTTTCGAGTTGGTGATTATCTTTCTCCTATCGCCTTTCACATCCTCCCACACCTCTCCCCGCCACCATAACTCATTGCAGCTGCCCACAACAACTCTTGGTTTACTGTTTTCAGCAGTCCTCAGTCTATCGATCACCTTCCCCTCTCTTCCAGCATTGTTGCCATCCAAACAACACCTCCTTCATGCTGTCCCAGCCCTCCCACTAGAGCGAGACACCTCTTTCGTTCAGTTTTGCCGCTATTCACCCAACTCCTCGCTGCCAGCACCCAGGACAACTTCCATATTGCTGTCCCTGCATTTCTGCACTTTCCTCTCGCTGCCACCAGCATTCGTTTGCTGCCGCCACCCCCACTAGCCATCCCAATCCGCATAGGCGACTTGCACCACCCTTGGGATACACTTTAGTGGTGTTTGCTTGTGTCGTTTTATTTTTATTATCATTTATTTCTTATTTGAAGAGTCATTGTTGTAACCTATTTGAATTCAACAATAATATTTCTATTTCTATTATAATTTGGGTTAACTTTGATGTCAACTTGTCTTGGGATTAACTCGTCAATAATAGAAGTTGCATTCAACAATTAATTTTTCTTCCATCCATAACATATTGCAAGGTTTTAAAAATATATTGCTGTATTTTTTCTAACATTTTTTAGCTAATTTTTGTCAAATAAATGTTCCAAGCTTCAAAAAATTGTCCGCTCATTGATCCAATGACTTGAGCATGAACAAGAACTAGTTTGATTATGTTTAGCTTTACATTAGCTAGATAATAAACATTTACATTTGAAGTTAATTTTATTATTCATTTATTCATTTTACTTTTTGATATCACCAAATGTTTTTTAAAAATTGTGTAAAATACATGGTTTAACGTTTATGAGTATTAAAGAACATGATTTTGTGGAAGTGACAATTTTTTTTAAATTACAATTGATTTATCAAAAGTACAGTTATTGATGAATTTGATGGTCATTAGCTTGATATGTTTGTATTTTCCTTGATAACATACAAGGTGAACTTGAATAGGATTTTTTAGCTTTTTAACAAACTTTAGCTTATTCATGTTTTACCTTCATAGTGAACCGAGCCAAACAAACCTGTAACTTATTTATGTTTAGAGTGTTTATTCTGCTTTTTGCCTTGTGTGCTTAAAGTTTATTCTTTGTAAATAGACATTACATAAATGAATGCTGGTGAATTGAATTTAAATATTTGATTTTATTTGTTGAATTATAAAATTTTGCATCCATTTTTTATCATCATCATCATTGTTTTTGTCTTTATTGGACATAAAAGAAATCTTCTAGACGTGCGGGATGTTGATTTTGGGTTGTAGGGAGTAGCTGCGGTGTTTTATTAAGTGAAATTATTTAGCTAAAAATATTGAGTATATCAAGGGTAATTACCAAGAGTTGTTAAAGAAGAGCGAAAAGCACGCAAGGCAAGATTTAGATAGCGTGATAGCTAGGATGCAAATACATTGGAATATGAAGACTAAAAATTACTTACTTGGACCTCTTTACTTAAAGCCTTGTTAAAAAAGGTGAGTGATAATTTTATCTTAAATCCCACTTTTGGTAAATAGAAAAGGACACTTCTTCTCTATTAGAAAGTTTAAGTGCTCTCATTTGAATAAGGTTGTTGAATGTGTGTTCAAAAACTAGAAGGTGATGAGGTTTTGTTGTATAATGTAAAGCATAATTAATGGTAATTTAATATTGGAGGTGACCAACAACAACGAAAAAAATAAATATTATTATGAAAATCAAATAGGAACTTATAACCACACAATAGAAAATTGAAATTGCAACAAACATGACAATAACTCCCACTAGGGTCTGGAAGGTGGTTGGGTGGTGGAAAGGGGTTGTAGGCATGTGGGAACAGCAATGCAGATGTTTCTTATGTTTTGGACAGAAAGCAATCAGTTGAAATGAATGTGAGAGGGCAGACGAGAGTAGTGACATCAGAGGAATGGGTGTTTTTGGGTTTGCGGTAGGAAGGAAGAGGAGGGGGGGGAGAGTGGCTTAGAAGGCTGGAACAACAAAGAACGACTATTCCAAGGCGCTGAGACGACGTATTAAGCAGTTGGAGCGATTTTCTGAAAGTGGCAATGAGTAGAAAAGGGAGGGAGGTGGTTGATTTGGTTCGAACTGTAGGTAGAGACAGTGAAGAGACGTTCTGGGCGGTTGCAACAAGGAATGAGTCGTTTAGAGCAGTGTAGAAAGGATGCAGAGTGGTAGAGAGAAGGATAATCACCACATTGGGAGCGAGATATAAACCTAGAAGGGAAAACTTAAGACACCGGTGGTTGTCCCGAACGAAGTCAAGAAAAGAAAAAAAAAAGAAAAAAAAGAAAAAATGGAAAAAAAAACTAATCCTAAAACATAAAAAAAAGAATATTTAATAATATGATAACTACGAATGGCTTAAGAGGACCAACCGACTCCCCGGAATGCTTGGACCAGTTTGATCTAGGCACTTGACCCGAATCCTTTAAGGATAACCCTCTGCTAGTATGCTGGATGGGACGCCCATATCATGATGCTTATATATCCGAGGAGAATCTAAATTGATTTGTAGGAGTTGCCTCTAGATTAGCTCACGACGATGTTTCATCATTTGATTATATCTCTTACACTTGATAATTAGATATTCTTTGATTGTGTTACATATTAAAACTTATGGAATTTCTGCTTGAAAGTTTGTAGTATGATGTTGGTAATCCTTTAAGGATAACCCTCTGCTAGTATGCATAAGTCTCAGAGCCAGTTCATAACATTTTTAAATGAAATGTAACTTCCAGTTCAACTAGAAATTAGGCCATCAATAAAAGTAGAGCTGTAACATTATCCATTTATAATGATTTTTCAAATATAGAGCCCATGAAAATAAAGTTGATTGGTTGAAATGACAGGTAATCCCAAACTCCTTTTCACCTTTCATAAAGATCTTTCAACCGTTACCTTAGTAGATCAATCTATCTCTAATGTTCTTGGTTTTGACGCCATTTATGTGACACCTGCACTACCTTTTACGATTGTTCTTAGTTTACATCAATTATCTTTTAATTTTGTCTCTGTTAGTAGGATTACACGTGGTCTCAGTTGTTGTATCTTATTCTTCCCAGATCGTTTTCTTTTTAGAATCTTATGATGAAGAAGATTATTGGCTTGACAAAGGTCTCATTTCACATTTATTTATTTATTTATTTTTAGATTTTGTGGCCTTTTATGTTCAAAATTCTTGCTTTAACAATCATAATAAAGAAATTGACTTGAATTGTTTCTATGACTTGTCTAGTGGATCGGCATACCTTAAATTCTGGGTTTGTGACTTGGCAGACTTCGTGAAGATTTTGTCCTAAATTGTTTCTAGACTTGTCAGGAAAGTAAGTATACCTTTGGGCCCAGATTTGTGCCTTGATAGACTTGGTAATGGATTTGACTCGAATTGCTCTATGAATTTGTATAACAATTTACCTTGACCTATAGTTTGTTCCAACACCTTATCTCTATTTGAATTCCAAGATAGAAAAGGACATCCATCACTACCAATGCTAATTATCATCTTTAGATTGGGAGTTGTGCCAATTTTCTAAATACCATCGTTTGTCTTCTATTCTCAGAATTAATAAAAGAGGTAGTCATTATTTTGAGTTGGATCGTTCTGTTGTATTGGGACCTTGTACTATTTTGTTTATTGAATACCAATATTTTGTCACTGATGTTTATTATTTTTTTTCGTGTGATTTAGCCTTTATGACTTCTCGATTTGAGTTACCAATACATTTTCAATCCTTTTGTGCTGAAATTAAACTCAATTAAATGTTTCTGTTAAGATTCTGAGAAGTGCTAATGCCTAAGCATATTTCTCTGCACCTTTTCAGCCATATAACACTAAATAGGATGCTTCACCAATCATCTTGTGTTGATGCTCCATCCCAAAATGAAGTAGCTGAAAGGAAAAATTGACATATTCTTCAGAAAACTAGAGTTCTTTTGTTTCAAACTAATATACCCAAACAATTATGGATTGATATGATTTTTATGCATATTTTTTGTTGAATCGAATGCCTTCTACTATTTTATATAACCAAATAGCCTAATAAGTTCTATTTCCAATGAACTCTTTCTTTTCCATTCAACCAGATATATTTGGCTGTATTTTTTTTTGGTTAGTGACACTCGTTCATAGGTTTCTAAATTGAAACCTAAGTCATTAAGGCTTCTTTCTAAGATACTTTCGTTTGCAAGAAGGGTATCAATGTTTTTTTTCTGTTAAACAGGTACATGGTCTCTCCTGATGTCACATTTCATGAACAAAACCTTTGCTTTGGTGGCTCATCGCTGCCTAAATTCTCACAAAATTTTGATGAATTGTTAATGTATCACATCACTAGTTTAGATACTTATTGTTTCTTTAGGATACTCTCATTCACAAAAAGTATATCAATATCCTCCTCTCTTAAACATGTACATGGTCTCCACTGATGCCACCATTCATGAACAAATCTCATTCTTTGGTGACTTATTGCTGCCTAAACTTTTTAAGATTCTAATGAGTTGTTAATGTATCACATAAGTAGTTCAGCTGCACTTTGA